AATAGTTTCTGATAATCCTATGGATTTCAGTAGTGTTCATGTGATATTTCTTTTTTCATCACAAGTTTTAATAATTTGAGGTTTTTTCTTTCTTTTAGCTAGCGTGGTTAAGTATTTATCCATTTTATTTATTTTTTTAAAAAAAACTTTTTCACTGATTTTGGGAATTTTTTGTTATTTTAATTTCACTAATTTTGGCTTGATTTTTAATTATTTCCCATCTTCTGCTGATTTGAGTGTTAATTTGTTCTTTTCTAGAGCATTAAGATATAATTTTAGATTATTTATTTGGTGACTTTCTTTCAATGAATGGTCTCAATGCTATGAACTTTCCTCTTAGAACTGATTTCATAGTGTTCCAGAGATTTTGATATGTTGTATCATTATTTGCACTCACCTCTAACAACTTTTTTATTTCACCATGATTTCTTCTGCTATCCATTCATCATTCAATAGCACATTAATTAGTTCCCAGGTGTTGCAGTAGCTTTTATTTTTATCTTATCATTGATTTCTAATTTTATTCAATTATGTTTTGATAGAATGCAAAGTATTTTCTCAATTTTTTTTGTATTTGTTAAGAGTTGCTTTGTGGTCTAACATATTTTTTAGAAAATATGGATTTTTTTAGAAAATGATCTATGTGCTGCTGAGAAGAAAGTCATGAATGGATGAAGTATTCTATATATATCTGTTTAGTTCTATAGCTTCTTTATTTAGTTTTTGTTTGGAAGATTTATCGAGTGGTGAGAGAGGTAAGATAAAGTATTGTGTATGATCTATTTAATTCTTGAAATTGTGAAGGGTTTATTTGATGTATGTAGATGCTCCATTGTTTGGGACATAAATATTTGATTGTTATGTCTTGTTGATGCTCTCATAAGCAGTGTTAAATGTCTTCTTTGTCCATTCTCATTAACTTTGGCTCAACGTCCACTTTATCTTATATGAGGATAGAGACCCTTGCTTGTTTATGTGATCCATGTGAGTGATATGTTTTTTCCCATCCTTTCACCTTCAGTCTGTGGATGAGGTTGCCTATGAGTCTCTTGGGGACAGCATATTGTTGGGTCTTGTTTTTTAATCCATTCTGAAAATCTATGACTTTTGATTGATGAGTTGAGGCCATTTACATTCAATGTTAATATTGAGAGATTATTTTTATTTTCTGTCATTTTGATTCATTTCTAATTTTTTTATTTGAATTAATTTCTCATTTAATTGAGAATTCTTCTTATAGTTCCTCCTCTGTTGGTTTTCAATTTTATTTTTCATTTATTCTTTATCATATATTTTGTTGAATATATTTTGTATTACAGGCTTTCTAGTTGTGAATTATTTCACCTTTTGTTTATTGTGGAACATTTTTATTTCATCTTCAAATGTAAAGCTTAATTTTGTTGGATATACTATTCTTGGTTAGGATCTATTTTCTTTCAGAGCTTGGTATATATTATTATAAGACCTCCTAGCTTCAGGGTCTAGGCTGAGAAATCAGCTGAAATATGGATTGACTTACCTCTAAATCTGACCTGCTGACTTGAAAATTTTATCCTTATTCTGTATGTCAAGCATACATACATAATAATGTGACTTGGTGTGACTCTGTTGTAATTTCATATGTTTTGAGTCCTGTATGCCTCCTGTATATAATTTTACATTTCATTCTTAAGATTTGGGAAATTTTCTGCTATTATTTCATTGAAAGATTGGGCTTCATTTGTCCTGATAAATCTTAAATTTGGCCTTCTCATGTTATCCCATATTTCTTGAAAGTTCTGTTTATGGTTTCTTAATATCTTTTCTCCATGGTCAACTTTATTTTCAGAATTATATATTTTGTCTTCATTGTCTGAAATTGTCTTTCAAGTGGTCTAGTCTGTTGGTGATGCTTTCCATTGGCTTTTTAATTTGGTTTATCAATTTCTCCATTTGGAAGATTTCCATTTGGTTCTGTTTCAAATATCTATCTCTTTTTGTTTTTTTCTCTCTCTGATTTTATATAATATAATATAATCTTTTACTTTATATAATCTTTATATAATCTTTTACTTGCAGATTAATTTAACTATGAACTTTCTAAATTCCATCTCTGACATTTTATTCACTGTGATATCATTGGATTCTGTTTTGAGGTATTTTGGTTTGTTTCCAATGGTTCATTCCCTTGCTTTTTCTTATTGTTTGTGTGTCTACCCAAACATGGCAGAGCTTCTACACTATGAACTTATGGTGTCCCTGAAGATTTCTAGTACCTCATGGTTTAGGGGGAGACAAATAATAACAAACAATGCAAACAATATAAAGCATTAAACTAAATACTTATTTCTATTATGATATCTACAAGGTTAATTAACACAACAAACAGAAATTGTATGGTAAGCCAACAGTAAAACAATAAGTTTTCTAAAGGGTCTGCTCTTTCAAAAGGTAAACAGGGAGAATGCAGAAGAATGTAAGAAATGATGATTATGAGGGAGGAGAGAAAGTAGAAGTAAAAAATTAAAGGAAGAATAAAAAGAGAACAATAGAATTTGACCAGCACTCGGGCAGCTGAAATTAAGATTGCTTATTGAATTTGCAGGGACACAAAATAAAACACAGACACAATTTACCTTTACATAAGCTTCAGGATGGCTTCCCTGCTCTTGGCCTCAGGCTCCCCAAAAGGGAGAACAAGAGAAAATTATGAGAGGCTGGAGAGAGAGAGAGAGAGAGAGAGAGAGAATGTTCGGAAGTGAATTTTTATTGGAAGGACTCTTCTTTTTAGAAAGTTCTATCCAAAAAAGGGCAGAAGGGGCAGGGATACAAGGGACAGGTGAGTATAACTCAACCATAAGGGCAAATTCCACAAAGAAGACCCCTTGCTATTCGAGCTAGACCCCACCCAAGCCACAGAAAATGCAGTGGTTGGTCAGTATCTGAGGCATCAGGACTGGAAGTGTGGGGTCATTCATTGTGGCTCCCCACAAAAGAGAATAAAGAAAAATGGACAAATGAACAACAATATAAAACCAAACCAAAATATGCTAATCAAAGACCCTAGCCCTTAACAGAGACATGAAAACTGACTACCTTCAAAAAATTCTAGAAATGAGAAAAGTAAGACAAATATGTATATGTACAAATGTCCATGAACCATTCAGCACATAATAAAGAAGGAGAGAGAGAGTGGGGGTGGGGGAGAGAGAGGAGAGAGGAGAAAAAGAAAGAAAATATTCTTGATAAAATGCTAAGGAATTGTTTCCCTTGCAGTGATCAAAATTGTCAATGATAATATATAATGGTTGTCTGCTCCCAAGTGTCTTTCTTTCCACTTTTTTTTTCTTAAGGTATGTATTGTGCACAAGAATAGTAGCCACTATTCAAATCTTCCTCTTTTTGTGTTGTTTCTCAAGTTGCCAATTCGAATTCAAAAGTTCTCGGCTTCTCTTCTGGGCAGTATGAGGTGGGGCAGTTTGGAGAGTGTGCTTCACTCTCAGGATGGGGTCACTGTAGAGTTCTGGGAGAGGAGTTCCCAGAGGTGGAGCTCCTAAAGGCAGGGTTTAGGTTAATTTAGTACCCTGATGCTTTGCTGAATGGTGATTGTTCTGAAGATTTTAAATCAGCACACCTCCACAGCCAGGCAGCTGCCAATCCATGCTGGGAGTCTGCACCCTGGGAGTCTCCCCTGAGTTCCCTTTGTGCAGTGCAGGAGCCAGTCCTTTGTCCCCCTCCCTCAGCCACCTGTGGGTCCTACCCTTCCCAGCCTCCTGGGCTCAATCTCTGAGCACCCACTCACATCCACTCACACACCCACACCCCATCTTGGGTGTCTTTCCCTCACAAGGATATAGTATAGTTCACCCACTGGGTCAGTCCAACAGTATCCTAATCTTCTCCATATCAAGACACACCACAGTGCCACCTAAATGTGGGTCCTCCTACTCTCCCTCCCCAATTTGCCCCAGACAGATCTGCTCCAGCTGGCCTATACACTTTTCTTCTTTTATTTTATTATATCCAAACTTCTGAGTTCCTAAGCTATTCTAAGAGTCCAGTATTTAAATCCCAGTAAAGTCCCTCTTATCACACATTTCACTGAGATGCTGTTTATCTGCTTTCCTGATCTCACACCACAGAACAACTTGAAAAGCAACCACCTCTACACCACTATCTTTCTCTATGTCCCAAGTCCTATAGTGACTTCTTGAGCAGCATCTGTTTTATATTGAGCAGCAACTCAATAAGATGTGTTTTTAGTCTTAGGAGGACCGAAATCTGCACAGAAAAGGGCAAGTGGCCCTGCATCGTTTGGGATGAGAAAGAATATAGTATATGTAACATATGCAATTATTAAACACACTCACACACAGAATTATCAAACATCACTTCAATTTGCAGATAACAAGGAAGAAGTCAAAACATGACTTAACATTTTATTAAAAGACTCAGACTCAGAACACTGCCCTTAATCCACCACAAAATGTCTCTGTGAAAACTGCCTTGTTCACAGTCCCACTAATTAGAGTCTTCTCTTCTCCACAAAGGAAAAAAAAAACCTCAAGTTTTTTATTTAGAACACAAGTGATACTGAAAAAACTTTAAAAATCTCATGAATCAATATATTACTTTAATTCTGGGAAAATGGCTAAAATGTTAATTACTAACAATTACAAAGTTCCCAACTAAAAATCAATTTACATATTAACTTGAGAATGAAACTCAGGTTGTTTTAGTACCTTACAGATGAAGAAATTAAGATTCCAAATGTCAAAGTCTCACTAAGAATAACAGATTAGCTCCCAAAGCTGTTAAGTGATAGATTCAGCATTCATGCTCAAATTTAATTACTTTTATTTGGAGAACACATTTCTCTTTAACAAGCAAACATGCAAATCATCATGCAGAATTTATTTAGAATAGATCCCTCTATTCTAACAGGTTGGACACACAAAAAGCAAGCATACTGTTCCTCTGGTTGGCATTTCTGATTCCTCTTTTTCATTTTTTTTTTGTAGATGACTTTAGAGTGATTGGTCCTGCATATCCTATCCTGGCCAGGGTTGGGGAAGATGCCTTATTAACCTGTCAGCTCTTCCCCAAGAGGACTGCAATGCACATGGAGGTGAGATGGTACCGCTCAGAGCCTGGCACACCTGTGATTGCACACTGGGATGGAGTTGAGGTCACCCAGATGCAGGTGGAGGAGTACAGAGACCGGATAGAGTGGATAGATGACAACATTGCCAAGGGAAATGTGACTCTGAAGATATACAACATCCAACCATCTGATAATGGGCAGTACTGGTGCCATTTCCAGGAGGGGAACTATCATGGAGAGACAAGCTTGCTGCTCAAAGTAGCAAGTGAGTATCTGGGCAAAAACTGGGTCTCAGAGGGAGAAATATATTAATTGATGGTAAGTTTAATGTCAGTTGAAGAATTCCCTTTGAATCAACATAGCAGTTTCCTAATGCCCAATCCTCTATCCTGAGCCATCTGAAAACAGGTGGTTCCAGAATCTCCAAAGTAAGCTCACAAAAAGTTTTCTCCAAAATTTAATTCACCTGAATTTTGACAGTCCTTAAGGATTATTTGAAAGCCATGACATGTAATCATCAACAATTTTGCTAGGACACAAAATGGTGCCACATAAGGCTGATGGACAAGAGCAAGTCAATTGCTATGGCCATCTGACTGTCCAGCATCTGTATCTCAGTGGAATGAGTTGTCACTTTACCAACCTCATTTATGCAGTAATGAAATGTGAAACTTTTTTGTCTAATTCCCCTTATTAGAAATCAACTGATGAGGCAAAAGGAATTAGGAGCTTTGTGCTTTTATAGAGATTATAATATTTCATATTCAATGAATCAGGGGCTCACAAGTGCCTTTGGAAGCACCCACTGTGGATGGCAGGGTTCTTCAGAATGCTATCATATTAGCAAAGGAGGAAGGAGTGGGAAGGCAGGAAATAACTGAATAACAGGTTTATCTTGTGGGGAAATATTTGAAAAGTAAACCTGACAGGAATAGCTCCTCCATTGTGCTTAAGGCAAAATGAGGCAAATTCTTTACCTCAACAGGAGAGCAGTTCTCTGGAGATTTTAACATCTCTGACTCTGATTTACTTTACTCCTAACACCTTTTTTATTACTCATGATTATGAATGGTTACTATGTTCAAGATCATTTAAAACAAAAGAATCATGGGACTCTGAGATATGAGTGGAGTGGGTACATACTGATGCACTGCACTATCTGAGACATTTAAAATTAAGGCAAAACTTTTCTATTACTCCAGGTAACAGAGTGGATCTCTTTCTATCCACAATTGATAAAGACAAAATATCCATCTACAGAAAATATAGTATTCTTTGGGTTTGAGAGGTGTAGTGTTGAATAGAGAAAGGATTTCATGACTACATAAATTGCTTAGGATTTCTTAAAAATGTTTTTCCTAACAGAACATCTCCGATAGAATATTTTAATACAAGAATCTTCATGCAGTTTATCTACTGCATCCCAAGATTACAACCACAAACAAAATAAATAGAAATGAAAAGAATCACCCATGGAGGTGATTTCTAAATTTATCCTAAACATTGTTTAAATTAGATTCCAGATACCGTTCAAAATTTCAGACAAAGTGCCTGATACAGACAATATTAAGAGGAAAAGTGTTCAGAGAATAAAAGATCTAATGAATAAATTACAGCACATTTGTTTACAGTACTAGAGACACAAACAAATGTTATGATGCCTCCCTTCCCTCTTATTTTCCTGTCCTGAAAAAAATATATTCAAGTTCTAAAATTTAAAAATCAAATTGGAGAACAAGCAAAATGTATCAGAGCTCCAGCTTAAATAGGAAAAAAAATTTTGGAACACCTTCTGCTCCCCAGTCCCTGAGGTCCCACCATCTCCCTGTGAGCAACATCACTGAGATCTGTCTCCAGAGTTTGTACCTCTGTGAGCTCTAGAGCTCAGAGCTGTGACTTCCCTCCACAGATGTGGGGTCTGCCCCTAACATCCACATGGAAGGACCCAGGGAAGGTGAGGTCCAGCTTCTGTGCACTGCAAAGGGCTGGTTCCCAGAGCCCCAGGTCTATTGGGAAGACATCACAGGACAGAGGTTGCTGACTCTCTCTGAGCATCATATCCAAGATGAAGAGGGCCTGTTCTACGTGGAAGACACCCTTGTGATGAGGAATATGTCTGTAGAAACTGTGTCTTGCTTCATCTACAACCCTGTCCTCACAGAGGTCAAGGGGGCAGTCATTGCCCTCCCAGGTCAGTGCTCTGCCTCTGGGACCAGATGCCTAGGTCAGCAGCAGAACTTCAGAACTGTGCAGCAACAGCTCATATTTTTTTTATCAGTAAAAGTACTACCATTTAATAATATGTATTAAAATGCATAAAACATTTACCACTAGAAATATATATATATATATACTGCATTTTGATTAAATAGCCATTAATTACTTGAGTAATTTTCAAGTTCTATGTTTTCATCTATTTGCGTTGATGTTTTCTACTTACAAGTATTTATTACATTGTAAATATCATTTCAAATAAAATATTTTCCTATGCTGTGTTGTGCTAAGTACCCCTAGGAATCTTTCATATGTTAGTAATCAGAGATAGAAGTCTTTACACAGCAGCATCTAAATTATTATCTTATTTACAAATAGAAAAATAAAATACTCAAAAAAACTCCCCAAATGTGATAGTGAAGTGTTGTGTCTTATGTTACTGAAACCTATAGCAGGAGGGGTTTGTAGATCAGTGGAAGAGCACTTACCTAGTGGTGTGAAGCCCTGAGTTGGATCCTCAGCACCACATAAAATTAATTAATTAATTAATTAAATGTCTTGTGTCCACCTACAACTAAAAAAAAATATATTTTTTACAAAACCTATAATATTGACAAAAAAACATTTTTGAAGAATTTTAGAGGCTTAAATAATCTCACGATGTACAACCCAATGATAAATATTACATCTATCTGTCCATCTATCAATAAACATTTCTAATCATGTAAAAACTTATTGGTTTTAAATAACTTATAAGTGGCACACTCTAAATATTTGGATTTATCATTATTTATAATATAAATAGGTTAAAATAAAAAGTAAGATATTACATATTAATGCTAAAAAAATCCAATATTGTATATTCTTAGTTTGGAATTGTAAGCAATACTTGTTTATGTCCGTACAGTTTTATAGAAACAAACAGCATTATTGGATTGATAGATCTGATAGTGTTTTTGTTGTGCAGATAAAAGGAAAGGCAAATGGGATCACCACATGATGTGTAGAAAAAAATATTTTCCGCATTTCATAGAGCTGGCTTTTATTTCTTGGAAATAGTTTCTCTCCTTTCCCTTACACCAAATTCCTTAATACGGTATTCTCCACCCTGCCCCACCTTTTTTTTTTTTTTTTCCAGAGAAACTCCAGAGCGAGCTGGGTGAGTAGGACCCACAGGTGTGGTGCACTTCTCTGGCCACAGAGGAGGGCGGAGCTTATGGAGCTGCTTCGGAACTGGGATCTGAATGAGACTTCCAGGCAGGGCTTTCTCAGTGCCCTGTTAAGTTATAAGAGGAGACCAGCAAAGCTCAGTCTTCCACAGTCCCCTTCGGGGAATTTTCTGCTATGTAACCTGTTACTTTGGGAGATCATGGGGATCCAATCAAGACCCAGATGACACATTTGGGGACGTGTACATCATCTCTGCCAGGGTCTAGAGGAAAGGGAGCTGCCTTTGGCGTGTGCGGGGGATGGTATGGGTCAGCTGGCCAGCTTTAGAGGCCCTTTTAAAATATTCCTACTGCCAATGGGGTCAGTGTCAGTGGAGGTCAGCTCCCACAACTCCCACCCTCTAGTCATTATGGGTCCTGCACCTGCTTCTCACCCCAGAAGGTCCTTAACCTCATCACTATCGAAAGGAAGCTGTTAAGTGCACCTGAGATCCTGCCACTGGGGTGATAATTTTCCTTTTCTTCATGTGGTTTTTATTTACTTACTTTTTTTACCTGGTAGTTGAACAGCAGATATTATTTTACCATGCCTAAGATGTGATTTAAAAAATAACCAAATGATGTTTGAGCCCCTTTCAGTTTCCTTTACCTCCTTCCAACTGCTTGTTTCTATGGCTTTTCTCCTAGCCCATGATGATGCATCTGCTCTCTATTTACATACACATGAACCGGAATGGCTCATTATATCCTTCATCTGTACCATTGTCCATCAAGTCACCTGTGGGAGTGTGTGTGTGTTTGTGCGTGCAATTGTAAAGGGCTTAAGCATACTTTATTTAACCCATGTAGGAGTTTTTGAGGGAAATTAAGATGGTAAACACAATTCCAGTCTCTGCCAGAATCTAGTGTGACACCTTTGACTCCATGGGGCCACAAATATAAAGGGTTGAGCCTCAGGAAGGTCAAAGATAGCTCCACAACTTGAGGACAAACCCAGTCCTGTGAGCTTAGCCTTTCTAGCAGGATCTCCCTCTGCCTAGGGCAGTAAAGGTGCCTGATCAGACAGAAACTTTAAGGAGAAGAACTTGTGACACATTAGAAAGCTAAGCCAGTGTTTGGGGCAGGCTGACGCAAGTCTGTGTCCCTCAGGAAAGTCTTAGGCAAAGAGTCACTCATCTGAGTTCTTGAGCCAACTCAGCATGCCCACTGGAGTCCCAGCACACAAAATACAATTTTATGTTGTGTTGTTCCTAAATTTTGATGACCTTCCAGGACCACAATTATATAGGATAAAAGCTCAGAACTTCCCTTTGCTCCTTGCCAGGTGGGAAGGGCTGTGCCCCAGGAGGTGGGAGGATGTGCTGTGGTAACTGAAGAGTTCAGGAGTTCTATAGCTGCTGCCTCTGCGGTATCCTCATAATTAGGGGCTCAGAGGAAGCACCCATGCAAAGGGCCATGGGCCAACACAATTCTCAACCCTATTATTTCCAGAGCTCATACCCTGGCAAATAATTTTATTGACTTATAAAAATAACGACTAGTTTTGGAAATCTTAATTACATGCCAGGTATATAAGTGCTTTGGAGGGATCATTTCATATTTACCTACAGTAGTTAAAAGACTTTCAGGTCTCTATGCTTCTGCTCATGCTGCACAGTCATCTAAGTGCTTTATACAGATTATTGGGGGGCAGGGTACCAGGGATTGAACCCAGGGGCACTTGACCATGGAGTTACATCCCCAACCCTATTTTGTATTTTATTTAGAGACAGGTCTCACTGAGTTGCTTAGTGTCTCAGTTTTTGCTGAGGCTGGCTTTGAACTCTCAATCCTCCTGCCTCAGCATCCCAAGCCGCTGGGATTATAGGTGTGTGCCACCACCCGACTTATATAGGTTATTTTGTTTAACTGTGTAACAATCCTATGGTTTGGGCAGTAATATGCAAAATTTATAGTTTAAGAAACAGGATAATCAGATTAAAAAGTAGTCATTTGAAGTGATAAAAATATTTATTTTATTCTGGGAGTGCTAACTTTAAATTTATTCTAACATTTGTTTTTAAACTGCGTAAAATTTTGGGAAGGAGTGGGTAGTGACCCTTTTTTTTCAGATTGGCATGCATCCTGGAAAGGTTCTTCTTGGAACAAGGACAGCCTGTATCTTGATATCACAAGATCCCATCTTTCTAAGAGATGACCTTAAGCCTCATACCTCCCCCAGGATGCCTATGGGATATATTTTTAATTTTAATTTTTTGAATGTCTTTTTAAAAAAATTATCTGTTCTTTGTATATATACACAATAGTAAAGTATATTTTGACATATTATACATACACAGAATATAAATTATTCTAATTAGGATTCCATTCTATAATTATTATTGGTTTTTTTTTGTTTTTTTTAGATATACATGACAGTTCAAAGTGGATCAAGGATCCATTCTTGCAATTCCACATGGTGTGGAGTTTCACTGGTCATGTATTCATATATGAACATAGGAAAGTTATGGGTTTCAAACCACACTAGAAATTCACTTGTTGGTGACATTTATTTGCTCCATTTTGATTTGTTCCTTGTATTTTGTCTTCTGTATTTAATAGCATCTTTAAAAGTGATTGGACCTTCTGAGCCCATCATTGTCAGAGTGGGAGAAGACATACAATTGACCTGTTCCCTGTTCCCCAAGGCTAATGCACAGAGCATGGAGGTGAGGTGGGTCCAAGCCCACCATTATCCTGCAGTTTATGTGTATATGAATGGGGACCATGTGGCTCGAGAACAGATGGTAGACTACAGAGGGAGGACTACACTGGTGAGTGATGCCATCCACGAGGGGAGACTGACCCTGCAGATACACAATGCCACAGCTTCAGATGATGGGCAGTACCAGTGCCTTTTTGAAAAAAATGGTGTCTACCAGAAGGCCAGTTTGGATCTGAAGGTGGTAGGTAAGGACTCTAGATAGATGTTTTGAATTTGTCACCGGTTCCTACTGCTTTAACATGTTCCTAGATAATTTCTGTAGCACTGAAAGTTTTCTTAATGCTTACTTGCTATCAGATTTATATTGAACCACCAATGTATAGGAACTATCATAGATACTTAAAATCCACAAATTCCAAAAAACCAAATTTAATTATTTGTGTATGGAATTTGTATACTTCTGAGTATGTCCACAAAATTACCATATATTTAAAGAGGTCTGAGAATTTTACTCTATTTTATACAGGATTCATTATTTCACACAGTATGTTATTAAAATTCTGGGAAATATACCAGAAAGTATAATAATATGAAGACTAAACTAGATATACCAAGTAAACAGAAATAATGTGGGTTGACAATCTTGGTATAAATGGAGGAAAAAAGAAAATCACTCTCTAGAATTTATTTTCCAAGTTTAGCAAATGTCATTGAGGACACAGGTAAAAATCTTGAATATCCGAAATATGTCTCCCATAGATTTTCAATCTGTTAATAAACATATTTAGGGAATATCCACAGAAACACATGTTGATAAGTTAAATGGGCCCATCTTTTTCTGTTATTGGACATGAACATTTATAATTTTAATCTTTAAGAATATTCTCTTACCTAGTTTCTTTTATCCTGTCAGTTATTTTGTTCTCAGGCAAACAAAGGTTGAATTTAAAATCTTATTTTACCTTTTTATATGTCCCTGGATGATTCAGGAATATAAAAAAAAATAAATAAAACAAAACAAGAAAACTCTCCAGCCAGTCTTTCTCTAGGTGGAGTGTCATTTCCCCTTAAGATTTTTCTCTCTTCCTGAAAGCCCTTTGAATCCTCCCAGCCCTTCTCAAACATAGTCACCAATAACACAACCACTAGCAGAGGCTCCATTCTTGGTTTCCTTGGTCTCTGTTCCCAGCTGTGGGTTCTTCCCCGAGGATCACCATGGAGGTGCTGACAGATGGAGAGGTACAGCTGATGTGCACTGCAAGTGGGTGGTTCCCACCACCCCACATGCAATGGAGGGACATGGAAGGAAAGACAATACCATCAGCTTCTGAGATCCTGCATTCAGACAGCCATGGGTTGTTCCATGTGGAGACATTGCTACTGATCACTAACAGCTCCTTGGCAAATGTGACTTGTTCCATAAGCAACCTCCCTCTGGGTGAGGAGAAAACATCGGCTTTTACTCTCTCAGGTTGGTGATTCTGTATATTCCTCTCAGGTTTGGAATTAAATACTAAGACCAACTCAGATGTTCTCACTTTATTGCTTTCTGTATCTGAATATAAAAATATACATATCTATATATAATTCTAATGAGATATCCTGCTATCTCTGACAAAGCTTATCTTCAGGACATGTAGGGATCCTACTCCTCTGAGTTTCTTGCTTATATCCCCAGATACAGCTCTAAAGTTATATTTATTGTTGGCTGTGCACTAAATTCTAATTATTGCCTCTAATTCTCTGTATCTACAAATTCTCTTCTTCTGATATGAAAACAATTTTAGCACTTTGTTTTTTCCTTTCTGGTGAATTTTATTATGGGTTAGAAAATAATTTTCCTTAACACTATCTTTATGGCTGTGGCCTGGGTAATTTTATTATTTTGCCATTATTCCAGTGACTGTGATAAAGTTAGAAAAAGAGAAGGGAGAATAATTGTGTATGTACATTTCTGAAAGGAACAAACACTAAAGCTAGCTAGACATAAACTTACAGTCTTCCCTCCCTCAGCAAGGAAAAGGGGACCCACTGCTTCCTTGAGAGATCTACTTCTCTTCCTCCTCTCCAGCCCAGGAACTGCTCAGATAAAAAAAAATGCACTTGGTATTTTCCTAGTTTCATGATTTACTGGGATTTGGGGATTTCCATTTCAGAGTCCAGGATGGCATTTTCATGGGCAATACTACCTGTTTTGGGATTGCTTCTTGCCATGGCCATAGGCATAATCTGCAGGAAGAACTAAAAGAAAGGTAAGTTAGGTAAACAGAACCAGTGTGAAGTGCAATGTATTTTTTCCTGGCCTCTCTTCTCAGCAATCACATATGGGAGGCATTCAGTGAATATTTGGTAATTAATGAAGCATGAGTCTACATTCGTGTAATCAAGACTCAATGATGAATGAACTTGGGGTTTACAGTGATATTAGAAGCAACAGAATTAAAAAAAACAATAATTTGAATCCCTGAGGCCATTCCTCGGATAGCCAGTTAAGGGAAAGGAAGAAGAGATGTTGGTAGCATAGTCATCTTATTGTCAAGGCTAAGAGCTCAGATGTCACTGAGATTCTGTTGGCCTGAACATTTTTCTAAGACCTGTAATAATGCAATGGCCTACTTATCGGTGATTCCTGATTTATTGATGAAGGTCATCTCACATATTGACAAGTTATTTTGTGTACCCCAGAAAGTTTGTATACTTTAAATTTCTTTTGTCATAAAAGCTTGTTTGCCTGTTTATATGTTAATAGCAGGAAATTAATACTTTTAGAAATTGATGAATTATCATAATGAATTTTTTTCTTTACAGTGAATATGACCCTTGATCCTAATACAACTCACTCGAAACTGATTCTTTCTGAGGAACACAAGGATATGACCTGGGATCATTCATGCAGCTAGACATCCACAGAGATCTGACTCTCTGCTCTACCTGCTGAGCCATGAGTGGCTCACATCCATAAGATGGTATTGAGAGGAAGGGGTCAGGTGATGGGTCCCTGGTATCAAGGACAATGTCCTGAGGAAAAGTTGTCATTGTGTCACAGTCATCATTGTGTCACCTCACATTCCACTACCCAGAAATTCTTATCTGGACTTTCTATAAGCCACCCCTTTCTCCTGGTGTATCTTAACAAACACCCAGAGACCACCTAGTTGCAGGTCCATCTTCTGTCCCTATACTTACTTTTATCTCCCAATAATGTTTCTCTGGAGTAAACAAATTCTGACCCATCATGGGTTTTGGAGAATAGTTGCTATGAAATGTGTACTGGGCCATCACCTCTCCTCCTCCAAACCTTCTCCTCCTGAGGTGGCTCCTGGGTGGTCAGAGTCTCCCTGGCTGTGCCTCTAGACATCTTTCTTTTGTAACATGATCAACAAGAGCCCACTCTACCCTTTTCCTCAAACTTTCTTCTCTGGAATTCTGCACCCACTCTTCATCCTGTGGTGCCCTGATATAGGTTCTCTGTATATTTGCACCCAGAAGGACCCCTTCAATATCTCCAAGGGAAACAACAATCTTGAATTCTGGAAAACAGGATGATAATGAGAGTCCTGGAACTGTTCTCCTTTTACCAACTGCTGGAAGGGGGCTCTCGTCACCATCGATCCCTTCAGAGGCCTTAGTCCAGGTTCTGTGATATTCTAACTCCTGATTACATTCTGATATCATATGACCAAATCCTTACAAAATCCAATGGGAAATGCAGTTTAGCACATAGAAGGAAATGAAAGCAATCAAGAAGTATCCGATCAGTTATTTTAAGGTGGTGGCAATTAAATTGATCATGTAAGTGAAGTTGAGAAAACAAAAAATACAGTTAAATAACTCGGAGAGAAAACAGCTGTATATAAAGAGAAAAATATGATCACTAAGATATAATCTTGAAATTATAATGTGCTGTATTATGAAATCTCTACTGCAGACTTTTTCCAAAAGTTAAGAGAGAATGAGGAGTAAGGAAAATTTTTAGAAATCCCAATCCAAGAGAAAAATTAATCATGGATCATGTGTATGACAAAATCATTTTAATTTTTAAAGCAAATCAAAGTGCACAATTTAAAATTAATAATTATAAATATAAGCAATAAATGCAACAAATAGTAAACAATAAAGTGATAGTAAGTTAAAGAAGAGAAACTGTATATGGAAGAAGAAAGAATGTTGTTTTTTAAAAAGCCTTTTAAGAAAGAGTCTTAACAGTTAAATTAGAGAACATTGACAATGATGAAGGTGATGGGTTGGGGTGGCCTACTTTCCAGTATATGTTCCTTCAAAGTAATGTATGGGATTAAATATTACACTATATAAAATATAGTTATAAATTGTTTTGTTACATCTTTTAAAAAATAGTCTTAAATTCTCATGAAGTGAGAATGAGGGATATCTGCCAATGACATTGCTGCTTTCCAGGATGCAAACATCACAAAGTTGTCACTGTCCTTTGAGGATCATTCATTCATCTACAGCATTCTGGAGTCTATCTTTTGGGTCATAACATTTTCTTTCTGTTTCTAAACTCATAAGCTCATGTTTGAAATTGGTAGTCTCTCAAGTGTTTACAAATTTATTTTATTTTTTCAACTGTGGTAAAGTAAATACTGAATAAAATTCATCATTTTAAAGCATGTAATTCAGTAGCACTCTGTACATTCACAATGATGTACAACCATCTTCACTATATAGTTTCAGAACATTCCCCCACCAACCCCAGAAAAGAAATGTCATACCTACTAAGTGGTTACTACTCATTTTTTTCCCTGCCCCAAGTCCCTGGCAACTACTATTCTACTTTCTGTCTCTACAAATTATACTTTTTATATACTCTGGATTTTTTATGCAAATTTAATCATAAAATGTAAAGCAGGTTCCTAATTACCAATCCCATGAGAGAATTCCCATCACCTAGAGGAGAGGAAGATCATCACTCTGCCAGAAGCAGGAGTCTATACACTGTATCAGGACACTGTTTAGCTCCACCATGCACTGATTACCTGTTTGTGCTGTGAAATCATTCACACTTTAAGATAGTGAGTGATCCATGTGAAAGTATATGAAGCAGGTTTACTGCCTACAGATAGGCAACAAAGGACACAAAAAGTCTTGGATCTATCATAAGCTAGTGCCCCAATGCTCCAGAAAGCTGCTCAAGTGGATGCAGCCTTGACTGCTTGAGTCTCACTTGCACCACAGCTACAGGACCTGGAAAGGCAGCGTACCGAGGGTTGCATACCTCAGAGCCATGCGACTCACTAGACAAAGGTTTAAAGGACATCCTTCTAGTGAAGAGAGCAGCAACACTTTGTCCTGGGCAGTTTCCCCTCACTCATTATATTACATACCCAAGAGGAAAAGGAACAAGTCCCAGTCTGTTTCACGTACTTCCTTATCAGGATTTTGCACTCCCAGAATATTCTAAAGTAATTCATGAAAACTGCAAATAAGGGAGGGGGAGAACTGAATCAGTTCACCCAGAAAACTGTCCTGCAGAAAATGTACACACATGCACGTGTGTGTGTGCGTGTGTATGTGTGTGTGTGTGTGTGTGTGTGTGTGTGTGTGTGTCTTGTTTTATTTGGCATATCTTCAAAATTCATCCAAGCCATAATGAATACTTATTCCTTTTTTAAATCAACAGACTTTATGTTTAAGAACAGTTTTAGTTCTATTGCAAAATTGAATAGCAAATCCAGATTTTCCATACACCTTTCCAACACTATGTTTCCCTTATTATTAACATATTCTCCTAATGTGTTACAACTGATGAACCAATATTAATACATTATCTCAACTAAAGTCCATAGTTTACATTAGGGCACACTTTTTTTGTTGTTTTTTGGTACCAGGGATTGAATTCTCAGGCATTGGTCCACTGAGCCACATCCCCCGTCCTATTTTGTATTTTAATTACAGACAAGGTTTCACTGAGTTGCTTAGTGCCTCACTTTTACTGAGGCTGGCTTTGAACTTATGATTATCCTGCCTCAGCCTCCCAAGCTCCTGGGATTACAGGCATGTGCCACTGTGCCAGGCTAGGGCACACATTTTGAATTGTACATTCTAAAAGGTTTGACAAATTATTTATACTTTGATACATTGATATACTTTTGATACATTGATACACCCTTTATATTTTTGAAGATATATTTATTAGTAAACACTGTATCTTTGAAAATATTTCAGCATGTTACTCTATTTTGACTTAATGTAATTTAAAATGTTTTACTAATAATGCCTGAAAGTTAACTGATATTTTGGTGGGAGGCAAGGAGTCTTTCATCTTAATTTATTAATCCAGCTTTTTGCTTACTATCCTATGCTTTTGAAGGCCGTATGTATAAATGTGTAGGATCAGCTAGAGAAAAGACTCATGAAAATGTATATGTGTATGTTTTATCACACCAATTCTCTTGCTATACATTATAGAATATAATCACTTTTAGCTTCCAAAATTTATGACTAATTTACTTTATCAATCCCAATTACAGTTAGAAAAGCTATAGGGAAGAAGTAGGATTGCAGCTTGAGGACGACAGTATCAACCACTGGCTAATGAATAAGCAATTTGATTGGTCCATCAAGGATCTGCTCCTTCTCATTCCTGATGTGTAGACAGCTGAATGTAGTCATGCAGAGCAGGGTGACTTGCAGAATAGATGTATAAATTGAGTGGATCTCAGTTTCAGGGAGGAAACTAAAAGATTATGTTAATTAACCACTCTGTTTTTTTTTCCCTCATTTATCAGTAGAATAGAAATATTCATCAGGGCAATGATTTTTTTCTTCCTTTTTGTGTATCCTTCCAACCTCAAAAGCAGCTTATATTAATTGACCAATAAATATTTATGAAATGCATAAATAATTTCATAAATAGGTATTTCTTGAGCACTGTAGAACTCACTGCTGCTAGTAATAGAGATATAATCCTACTCTCTGCCCTCAGGTATTCCTTTATTCTAATCAAGTCATTATCACACTTTTATAAACTTTACTCAAAATGGGATTTACAAGGTAGTCTAATAATAAAGAATTAATTGATGAGATCAGATAGTGAATTCAAAGTCATTACTTTGCCGGCATCCACGGAGACCCTTCTTCACTGCATATTGATTTGCTGACAGGTACAGATGAGGATAAGATGAATGTTACTGGTCCTGATATTTCTACAATTCTGATTCTAACAGACCACCAACCTTCTGATTTTTATTTGTTGTCCATGTCCAGCCATTTCTCCCCAATCTC